TTTTCGACATTTTACGCTTTTTCTGTCCACTGACATTAAACTTAAGTTTAATCGGTAACTTTAGGGACAGAGAGTTGAAATTTGAGCTAAAAGATAAACAACTGAAAGGACAACAAAGGGAAAAGAAAACTTTTTTTTCAAAGCCCAGCTGGTTAGACTAGGGAAAAAAAACAATCTCTTCTGAAAAAATGTGATTTTACACTAAATGTGCATCTACATTTTCATTTTTGTTTTGCTTGACGATTTTCAAACCGTTCACTCACAGCATCTATTTAAATTGTGCGTTTCGATTACACTTAATGTTTGTTTAAAATTTTTTAAATATGACAGATGCTTCGAAGAGAAACAAACGCGCCACACATTAAGCTATTGAATCACTGCATAGAAATCAGACTAGATGACTAATACATAAATCTTCAAGCGCAACTTTTTTCCTTTTTTTTTAAGCGTTGATAAAGAATGATGTACAAGTCATCAGATTTGATTTATATTGTGGGATATTTCATGTAGAATAGTAACTGAATGGACGTATGATGAACAAGCAAAAAAGTGAAGTTTACTTTACAGCTTCGCAAAAATTTGGGACTATATGCTGTGACAGAAGACTAATAAGAAGTGCGCTCAATTCACTTTGTCCACTTATCTAAAACAAATCTCAAGATTTCAGGTAATGAGAAATCGTTTAACCACGACTTGTGAGTACTATAGTTTTTATTAACAAAAAACAATCAAACGAACCGACATATATCTTTAACGAAAAAATGGTTTTATCAACTAAAGTTAGGTTGTTGCACATCTATTTCTATAAAACAGCGTCAGTTTGAAAATGTTTATCAAAATTATTAGTTAGTTACCAATAGATCCTTTTTTTTTTCGAGCATGAATGCGATAATTTACATCGACACATTGGACAACCCTGCTTATCCATCACATGCCCACATGGGCAATAGATTCGACAAACCGGTGAACATTGAACATTATTTTCTCGATGAATTTGTATGCCGGTTGTAGGGGTGATCGACCACAAACATAACAAAATAAAAAATATCAATGAGATACCGAATATAAATGATTTAGACATGTACATTGCTACCATCAAACTAAAAATAAATATTAGATGTCTGAAACTTTCAGATAGATACAAATGAACAGTTGTTAAAACTTTACACTGTTAAATAAGAAAAAACTATTGCTAATGCGTTGTTGAAAAAGTCATGTAACAGTTCCGATGTTTGTGCCTGTTTTTAATGATATAAATAACCGGTCTAGATAATGTGATTGTTAAAATGTATCAGACTTTCATGAAAATATTTTTCTTATTGAAATCAAGCAGAAATCTGTATATACAGTCCTGTGCAAAATTATAGAGACGATTTGTTTTTTGATTTTTCTGCTCGACCGTAACAGAGAAAAACAAACCTGAAAAATGATTAAAAATGACAGTGAAAACGATCGAGAGGTCTTTAAATTGAATGCAGTCTGATGAAAAAAATGTCGTGAAGTGTTCGGCAACGTCTAGTTTTGTTCAGAAATGTTTGCTCTACACGAATGAACTATTTAAAAAAGGTTCTCGTTGGAATCCCGAAACTTGATTTTTTGAGATTTTCTAAAATCTTAGTTATCTAAGGACCTGATTTGCAGGAATTTTAATGAAATTTTAATATACACCTGATCGGATTGAAAAGTCTTTCAGCTATTCAAATTACTTTTCAGATTTGTTCTTTCTGTTACGGTCGAGTAGAAAAATCAAAAAACAAATCGACTCTATAATTTTGCACACAACTGTATATCGATCAAAAAAGGGTTATCATTTTCTTACTTACCGCTGTCAGAATTATTTTATTAATCGTCAATTTCTCTTCTTCTTCTTCGTCTTTTCACATTATATGGAGATGTGTGTAAACGAAATATAAGTTTAGATCTATGAGTGTGTTATCGATAAAGTGCGACTTAATGGTAAGAGCATGACCACTCTTCCTATCTTTCACTCATTCGTTTTTCTGTTGAAGAAGAAAAATTTTATCAAGAAATAATCGAATAATTATTATACAATAAGGATCCATGATAAATACCACACACTTCAAAAACATTCTGAATAACGTTTTGGCTTGAGTTTTAGATTTTATAATCAGAATAACCAATAATTTATAATGTAAAGATGTCTACTTGTACACACTCGTTTTAATGACTTCGTATAAAATTCGTTAATGAGTGAATTAGGGAAAATTTACCTTTAAAAATTAGTTCAGTGATGAAAACTCATATTTACTAGATATGTTGTTGTATGCACAAACGAAGCATACATGTTACATTCGTTACTGCTACCCTCTGCGATTGTACGATATTTACGTCTGTTGAATAACCTTCTACACTGAGCTTTTCTAAGACACATCGATACTTCCTAGGTTGGAGACTTAATTATTGATTTATTCACGATTACTCTGTCATACTTTAGAATAAGTCAAATTTAGTATAATTTTCAGTTTTTACCTTCGAAAACCCGTTATTTTCGAGATATTATTTTAATACAAACGTTTGAACTTTTCCAGTGGCGCAAAACGGTGTGTTTGAGGTTTAAGGTTTTAACTTTTTAGTCTCTGCGAATTGACGACGTCAATGACGATAGTTTTAGAAAGAGAAAGCCTATCGACTTGTTAAAGGGGTAAATCCATCTGAAGCATACCACCATTACATCGACTTTTAGAACAAATCGTAAGACCACCCTTATTTTGTAGAGCTCGTCGAGCTGCGCCTAGTGCACAAACCGCAGGTCGGGGTATGATGGGCGTAAAAAGTTATGACGACTTTACTGTTCAAACAGAAAAGTGTAACTCCCATGTTTTCCCAGCAGATTTTTCTCAACTTGTAACGGTTCCTGTGAGTCTATTTCCCAAGATAAATTCTCATGATTGCAAATGAAAGAACGTCTCAAATACTATATATTTTTATGGAGAAAAAATGGCCTGTGGAGGGTATTTGAGATACGGGTCTCTGAAAAGCTATTGGTATTTGAGGTATTTTTTCTGTATTGTACAAACCAAATTCGATGAAAATAAGCTTGCATAGGTTATTTTCGATGCTGAATTCGACTATCATATTTAGGGAATCTATGTCTGCTTTGTTGACATATGAAAGTCGGATTTATGCCTAGAAATGCAAATTTTACCATTTTTAGTCTGCAAAAAATCAAATATTATCATCAGGCAGTACTACTGGAAATGAGAAGAGAGAGACATCAGTGATATAAAAAACCATGACTAGTGCAACTCTAACTCAATCAAAAACTTACGGTTATGGGTTATAAAAGACATGAAATAAACAGCAGTTAAAAGAAACATTTTTAACACTAAACAGAGCGAATTGGCCTGCAATGACATCTCTCTAAAGACTAAAAGATTTCTGCACATGCTTAGTTTCAATTGAAATCTTTCAATGAGTCTTATCAACCAACGTTTTTGTACCAACACATAAAAAATTTTCAAGCTTATCAGTTGATCAATAAAGAAATAGAAAACATCTTTCGATTGTCTGTCGACTTTTTAATAGTCAAACGTTTAGACTCACGATAAACATACTTTAAACAAAGTCCATAGTGGTCCATGGTTACACAATCTAAGGTTGAACAGTATTCTTCCTGTTTATAAATATAAGTTACACATATATATGTATTTGTATATCCGTTTTCAAATCAAATAATCTGTTTTATCACATTATGAAGATTTTTTTCTTTTCAACGAAAGCAAAATGATAGACTAGAAGTTTTTCTTTAAAATAGATTATTGTTCCGAAAAGGATACTGTCTAGTTTTTGAGTTATCTGATTCACAATATGATTGTTTGACAAAAACAATGCTTTCGTTCGTCCTGTTTCTTTAGCCTTACCATATTCTGTTTTTTTTGTGAAATTGTATAAAAATGTATCAAGCAAAATAACCCAGTTAATTATCTTTGAACAAGTAACAGAAATCACTATTGGGAACCACTTCATTTTTTATACAAAAAGAAAAATTACTTTTTTGATGTGTATTGGCGGCCCGATATCTCCACAAATTCAGGCGATTTTTTCTGGAAAATAGCTGAGCATAATGTATAACAAGACAAGTCTATATTTTTTTTCAAACACAGTTATCTGGTGAGATTGTTTTCATCGGGTCGGGTCGGGTTCGGGTTAAGTTGTCGTCGGGTCGGATCGGGTCGGCATTTTGGCAGTCGGGTCGGGTTCGGGTTAGGTTTTCTTAACCCGTGCAGGTCTCTATTTAGCTCTGCCAGCGAGCAATTCACTTCAAACAATTGCCTACCATGCCTCGAAGAGAAAGCTGGAAAACCAACTTAGTTGAACAAACTTCTTCCAGAACTTGACTATTAATATTTAATTTGTTTAAGCGAATATTCTCTTCGATATGGAAAAACTGCTTTGTTTTTGTCAAACAATCATATTGTGAACCAGATTAATCAAGAACTTGGTGGTATCCTTTTGGAAAAATAGGAATATCGATCTATATCTACGCATAAACTTATTTTTAATAGGTCTATGTACAGAATAGAACAAATGTCGGTTTTTATTATTAGTTACACAATCTAACACAATTTAAAGTACTAGAACTATTGTTTGACCATTTGTAATGAATACTATTCGTGAACGATAATATCACCATCAGGAGATATAATTCGGATAATGGGTGGTTGCTGCTCTAAAATTCAAAACATAAGTCTGTTATGAATGATACGCTTGTTTCTAATTTCTAATTCTCCGGAGACCTATGGGTAGCTGCGATGGTCATATTCGGAATCAGCATAGACGATAACCTATACTCCACTAGGTCTCATTGGAAAAACGATTTCGCAATTAAATCGGTTCCTTGGTAAGACGAGACCGGAAAGTTGCCTTCAATGATTCTCACATCGAATGAAGAACGATTCTGCAACGATTGGCTCGAGTTATAAAGTTAATCTTTTGAGAAAAATTAATTCGACATCTCCGCAAAGTGATAATAACTGCTGCTAATATTTATAGACGTGAAACTTACTAGGACATGTTTTATCTCGTAATTCGGTCTTGATTGTTCTTGGAATATATTGAGGTTCTCGTGAGGAACATGTTTCAAAAATATTGAGTAAATTGGCTACTTTAAAACCTAGTGGTCGTTTATATGTTATTTCATTGCGTATTGCATCTGACATTTCTGAAATAAAACCCAAGATTAATAACTTGTCACATGATCACTTACAGTCTATAAAATGAATGTTATACTCTGGTGACTGTCGATACATAGGCCGATCGCCTGATTACTCATACTAACTTGAAAATTTGTTTTTGAAACAGTTTTCTTTTTTTGTACCTCCTATTTGTTTTTTAACAGGAATGAACTGTTTTGTAATGATTGTTTGAAAAAATATTTCTATTTATTACAACAAAAAAGAAAAAGTATCGGTTGACAGTCGTTATTTGAAATTTTTTTTCTTCCATCTATACTAATCTTAAATTCAATTTGTGAATCATTCATTTTACTTAAAGACTTCCATCTACAAATACTTTTTTTGTACGCAGTGCAAATGACAACATGACTAATTCACCTTCGGGATACATCTTTATATAAGAATCAGTTCCAGTGAAGAAAGAATGCTGCTTTTTAATTTATAAACTGTTAGCTTTGGTCAACTGAGACAAGATGTATCGGCTTTAAAGTTGTTCTTCTAATTACATTCATACTGAGGCAAAAGAGAAACGTTTTACCAAGTAAAGCTTTATGGATTTTAAAAATCAAATCCATGTTTGTTCATAAGGCATCTATAGCTTCGTAACGGTTCGATCTTTTGGGTTCAAATTTTTTAACATGTATTACCCCCATCATAATCTTTTATTTCTGTTTGCTACTAACAAACATGAGGTTGGTTCCAAAATCCATACTGATTGGTTTACGGACCTTTGTTTCCACTTCCGATAACATGGTGAGAAAAGAGGTGTATGTGAAATCATTCATCGATGATAGTAAAGACTTTGTTTGAACATAACGATCTTTCACTAGCTTTATGTCTCAGTTACCAAAAATTAGAAACAAGCGTATCATTCATAACAGACTTATGTTTTGAATTTTAGAGCAGCAACCACCCATTATCCGAATTATATCTCCTGATGGTGATATTATCGTTCACGAATAGTATTCATTACAAATGGTCAAACAATAGTTCTTTTTAGTTGAATTGTACAGCAAAGATAAACAATATCTCGATTCTGTAATAATATAGAGATGTGTAATATACAACGCTGTAAACGTGTTAGAAGCAAAATAGTTATTAAAATAATTTTAGTTAACAACGTAGAAAGTCTTGAACCCATATATGAGAACAATAAAAAGATCGTGTCAAAGAGCTGAGAATAGTAGGTGGGAAAAGGGGAATTAGTAAGATCAATGTTTCCAGACATCTTTTCTTACTATAAACTTCAATTTCTCATTGCTCAAAAATATAGACAATGAGTTTCACAAAACTTGAAAACAATAAGAAAAAATTTGACAATAAAAAATAAAGACAAGCGTTTGACAATAAATTGTCGCACATGGCGAATTGTTTGTGGACTGTGATATTAGACGACGAGACTTTACTGGATCTAAAAATGAAAAAATAATGATTTATGTAAACATACATATAAGTTTGATGGGACTAATATACGTACTATAAGCTACTGTAACATGTGCTGTTGTATTCCACCACCCATATTTACATTTATATATTCCTGAATCTGTTTGATGAGCATTATTAATAACTAGAGTGTCATGAGTTTTTGAATCTCGAGTACTGTATTGTGTTGTACGTGTAGTCATATTTAATAAATGTTCATTTCGATACCATTGAATATTTAAAGAGTGTGGGTGAAATATCGATCGAATAAATTCGACACCCCAAATACGACAAGTTAGACGAAATGTATCACCAATGGTGACGTATGTTGATGATGGCACAATATCTATGCACGAACTAGCTGAAACGGAATGAGAACACGTCACACTTTAACAACAGAAAATAAATAAGAAATTTACTTACTTCTTACGGTCACATTGAAGCTGGCATATATATGTTTCGCTGCTTTACAAATATAATAACCTTCATCCCCTTTGTACAATTGACTTATTTCAAGGTTACGATGGACAGTATTATCTCTCATTCCGATTTGAATTCTCAACATAAACCGTTCATCATCTGTCAATTGCTTATCCCCAAGAAACAATGGTTGAGGATAAGCATTGTCAAATAGACGAAACCATGCCGTCTAAAAAGTATAAAACATTGAGTAATTTTTGTTTTAGTGGTTTCTAATCATGAGGTAAACGCTACTGCTCGAAGCTAACGTGAAAACTACACGGTACAAAAAATCATCTACACATCACCGATAAAAAAAGTTAAAGTTTGTTTAGAGTTAAAGAAAAGTGCTTTTTCATATTCAGCACAATTGATAACCTAGAAAATTTCCTCTTTTTAGTGAGGGGTACCGTCAAAAAGTTAAGAAAAATTTTCAAACAAATTGACGCAGAAAAATCCCTATGGTAAAATTAAACAATTTTAAAAAATTTTCTTAACTTTTTGGCGGTACCCCTCGCTAAGAATAGAAAATTTTCGAGGTTATCAAGTGTGCTGAATACGAAAAAGCACTTTGCTTTAACTTTAAATGAACTTTAATTTTTTGTCGGTGATATGAAAGTTGATCGGTTTTTAGTACATTGTTTAGAAAAGATGTTTTTCGAAGACGCTTTTAAGAGACGGTTTTATGTAGACGTTTTTCTAAGGACGATTGTCAGTAGGCGTTTTCTTGAGTATGGTTTTCTGACGACGCTTCCTCGAAGACGCTCGTATCAGCATGGGTTATCGGCTGTGCTGAATCTCGTGGCAATATTGGCTTTCCGAATAAAATTTAAAAACCTATTTGAAATCTATAATAGGAGAAATAGCTCATTTTTAGCTGTTTTCTTCTAAAATTAAGAAATTCATAACTCACTCAAACTTAAGCTCAATTTAATCATAGATACATGTGCTAAAGTGTCCTCTATCGAAGAGCAAAAACCGCAAGTTTTTATCTCTTTTCAATCAAATGTTATTAAAAAACATCGGAGACCACTCTGTTTTGAAATAGATAGTAATTTTGTTCAAAAGAATTAAAAAAATGGCACCGATCAAAATCTGTTTTAGAACGACCGTTCTTAAGGCCGTTCTAAAAGTCTTACCGAAACGGAATGGCTTGGTCTGTCGCCGTTACTGGTTACATCTCTGAGCCTGAGTACTTAGTTAACTTACCACCCGGCTAAGATCCAAAAGTAACACAGTAGTACACTAAACGTATCCTTATACTAATGGTTTACGAGCACCGATCTTTACCTGCTATTAGAAAAAAGCTCACTGTACTCTCGCTCCTCCAATGCTTACCACCGACGTATTGTCTGCACCCATTGGACATTTCAATTGAATCGATGAGCCACATGTAGCTAATAAAAATTCGGCATTTGGATATTCAAAATGGAAATTGGTCAATTGAAACATATTCGAACAGCGAAATAGTATAGTGATCATATAAACTAAATATAGAAAAATAGTCATACAAAAGCAAATGGAACGAAATCAATACTATACCTGTCAAAATGAACATGTTAATTTCGGCATCAATATGACATCGATGCAAGTAGGCCCAATGTGATCAATAGCCATCTAAATTCAATCTAAAACAGGCATTTTTCAGTGCTGAGAAATTAATCCAAAATTACTGCTTCAATAGTCATAAATTAAACATTTTTATATTTGCAGATAAATTCTTTGATATTTTCTTATGTCATAAGAAACATGTTTTAACCTTTTAACGACTGTCTACTCTCGATAGTTTTCTACGGATTTTTGTTGGATTCGCTTGAGAAGCAGTAAATAAGCTCCAACTTTTTGTTTTTTCTCAGCTTACTATGCATGGATCGAAAGTCCTTCCCTTGCACAAGAAAAGCAGATATATGATTAAAAAAAGTAATGTATCAGAAAGATAAATATAGACGTGGTAGTAAGTATAGGATTTTAAGGCAGGTCCGGTTGCTCGGTAGACAGCTGTTGAGGGTTAAACCTAATTAATCTTTTAAGAAATTAATTAATACTGACTACCACCAGCGAGGTTTCTAATGTATTATGAAATATTCTCACATTTTTGAATGTGTTGCCCTAGTAAATGTAATTTATAGTAGTACTTCAGAAAGTAACGTCCAAAGCACCTCGACTTTTTTTGCAGGTAAAAATGTAGTTATCAAGTAATTTAACAAATGTTTACTTGATAAGTACTTCAGCAAGTATTTGATAGGTAACTGGGTCAGTACTTGTAAAATGTACGCAAGTATCCGAAATTCGTTCAAATAACTGGTACGCATTAAATCTAGAAACACTTGACAATAATTTAACCATACACTTTTGAAAATTTGCAAGTAACGAAATACTTTTTCTGAAGTACATTGAGTAGGATGTAGTTTGAACATAAAACACAAAAATCAGAGATAAAAATTCTTAAAAAGTACTGCGAAACCTGATGGAACCATTGCAGTAGTTTATGATTCGTCACTATCTTTTAAGGAAGAATATGACCACACCATAAATGAAGGTATCAATTATGTATATTTGCATAAAGATAAAACATAAAGTTACATTCACCTTAGTATATGTGTGAAAAAAAACTCATAAAAAGAGTAAACGTTATGAAGTAAAAAGTATACTATTTTTCTAATTTTTTTGACTCTATTTAGTTTCTTTCAGATGTCAGAGCAACAGAAGCTCAGTGATACTAAAATAGCAGAATTTGATGCCATATATAAAAACAGGAAACAACCAATGTGCAAAAACTGTAACACAAGTGAACATGTTATACCGTGTATTAGGGGAAAACCATCGAGAGAATTGAGTATTTATGCTACTATGAATAAAGACCATGTGGCATTATGTGGTTGTACGCAACCTTACATTGCATGGTGTAAAAAATGCGAAAATTATATTGAAGATCCAGAAGACTAGAATTGTTTTTTCATCAAATCGTGTGTTTTTATCGTAGGAGTCAAATGTGAAATATATATTTAGTTTAAAAGAATGGAAGGATGTTGAACGATACTAAAAAAACCCGTATAATAAGCGTAAAATCTTAACTTTCGTATCGTACTTTCGATCCATGCAATTTTTGCTTCCATTTTTCTCTTTTTTTGGTAAACAGGTCTGATCTGACAAGAAGCTAATCACTCAGAGGACTAATACTGAAGATCAGTACCATGGTTTAGGACATGTTAGTGGTGTTTGTATAGTCTAACTGATAAAGCGAGAACATGTTTGCGACTTAATTAGTCTGATACGATGCATAAAAGTATACACACGTGTATGCACATTCTTCTCCATCACAACTTTTGTGTGAAAAAAAGCGTCTGCTTAAAATCGATGCACAAAAAAGCGGAGTGAGAGACTGTAAAAAAAGCGTTGAGAAAAAACTGTGAAGTGTCATAAAAACATAAGAATATTGGTAGAAAAAAACAGAAAACAGGCACGGAGCAACCGTAACGAAATAACGATAGAATTTCTACGATTTTCCTTCGCCGTGTTTTTTTATGAATGATATTGCATCCAAATAATAAAAAACAAAAAATAATGCTAATGTAAAGTATAGATATCAATGATAAAATAGACTTACTATATAGTCAGCCCTTAGCTAAATCGCATAACTCCGCTACCGGAGTGTGAGTGGGTTACTGTTTCTACTCTTATTGTAGTATTAAAAGAAAACATGTTACAAAGGTGAGGGGCGTCTCGCTTGCATCTGAAAGTATGCTCTTCGAAATCCACTCTATGAACAGTTCGATTCACTCAATCTTCTTTGTCCTACAATCGAAATGCTACTATCCGCCAGAAAAAGCACATTTTAATTTTAAGCTTACTGTATTTTAATCATAATGCATAGAAGATTGCGTGAATCGAAGTGCTCATTGAATGATTTTCGACCCATGCAGATGAAACAAGTCGTTCGAGGGGTGCGGCGGATACTCGAAAATGGCACTTCGAACACTTGATATAAGCTTCGTGGGATATCGATTTCGAGCCCTCGGATTTCAGATAGGTAGTGGGCTCTCGAGAAAAACTTCGAGCCGTCGGATAGAGATGTTCGGGACTTCCGAGTCCGCGCTTTCCCGAGGGTGCGACGAGGGCTCGGAAATACCCCTCGAAAGTTTATATCGAGGGTCCGAAGTGCCATTTTCCGCGGGCTTGAGCCCTAGGTGAATGCCCATCGAAAGCATATTTCCGAGCACTCGAAGTACCCCTCGAACAACTGATTGGGAAAGAGTACAGTTTCAGCTACAAAGCAGGACGTCCCTCACATATGTAACATGTGCTCTTTTAATGCTACAATAAGAGCAGAAACGGTAACGCACTCATACTTCGGTAGCAGAGTTACGCCATTTAGCCGCATTGCACACAATAACAAACTTCCAGTTCACTTATCACTTCATGTTCGTGTTTTTTCTTCACTCAATAGAAAAAGTGATTGATTTACGTCTAACTCAATAAACTCAGAAAACACAGCAACTTTTTTTAGATAAAAAACTTTCAAAGACTTTCTCAAGGTTATTATCATCAACGACATAGAATCTTAGTGAAAAGAGAAAAGCGGATGAAACTTGAGATTTTCAATGAAAAACGGAAATGTAAAGTAAGGACAAATTGTAAGGATTTCTTTTTCATTAAAGACAATTTGTCATTATAGTTCATCATTTTTCTACAGTTATGTTTGTGATCTTCTAACAAAACAGTACCATCATACTTTCTGATAGAGATAGAATAATAGAACAATAAAGTTATTTATTGAAATTGTATAATTACAACGAATCTCAAGCTTTCTGAGCATTAAAAACGATTTGAAGAATCAAATCAACTAACATGAAATCGATCAACAGTTAATTAAAATGTGATATTACAGTTTACAAAGTATATTTTTTATAAATAAATATTATATGTTAATAATGTATAAACATACATTATTAATATGGTTAAATATAAATATTCTGTGATCGATGTTTTTGATCTAATATAATTTCTGTCATTTTCTAAATAACTTTCCTATTTCTAAAACATAAATAAAATATAGTAATTAGTACTAATATCAATGAACAGAACATAAAAAATTACATTAATATATTTTTTTTAACGCTGCTAGAGATATGACCCTGACTATCAAGTAACAGGCTTATATTGTGCGTTAGTTGAGCTATATAATTATTACTCGCGAACAAACTGGATGATTTAAAGATTAGAATCGATAAATATTTTGTATTTTATTTGAATTTACATGAATGTCTAACAAAAATAGCAATTCTTTCTCGTATACACTATTATTATTATTGTTAACATCAGATAAGATTAGGGAATTCCTATTATCACTAACAACAGAGTGCAAATAAGATTGATTTACAACTAATCTATGATCGATTGTAAATGTTTCGTCTAACTCAATTGATGATAATTTTTTATTATTATCCAGTTCTTTTATCGAACCAAATAAGTTGTCACTGTAGTTAGTATAAATATTTTTATCAAATTTTGTTTTGTTGTTGTTGTTATTGGTTCATGTAATTTTTTTGTTTTTGTTCATTGCCGATCGATACAATCGCATCGTCTTACGTAGAGCATACAAAAAATAACGAGATTTACAAGTAAAACCCCCGCAGACTAGAGATAATTAAGTTTTCACTTCAGAAAGTATGTGAGCTAGTAGACATGATTATCCACGCACAATAAATTTGTTTCAAAACATTTGCTGAAAGTTTTTTTCAAATCATCTTTGACTAAAAAATTGAGTATTTTGGTTACAGCACTGTATATAACGATTAAAAACTATTTTGATCGGTTATTTTTCTTGGACATGGCCGATTAAAGAAATATAGTGAATACATAAAGTGGTAGTAGGTCACAAGTTCTAGATTCAACACACATAAACGGACTTCAGTTCTTCGAATTAGAAGGATTGCAAGAGAGGAATCTCTACCGATTACAGTGTGGCGCAACAAGTTAGCCTCACAATAATGTTTCATGTCTTTTCTTAAACTAACTAGCCAAATACTCTTAAAAAATAGACAGACTCTGTCTATTTTAGTAGTACGGAAAGAGAGCAAATTTCTAATCACCAATATTATATTAAAAATTCTCTAAAACTAAAACTAAAATTGGATTACATCTAGTTAGTGCGGTTTTACCTGTAAATCTTGTTACTTTTGGTATGCCCCAAGTAATAGTGTCGATGCACTATTAAAAACATTTCATATATGAACTATACACTGTGAATTTATCTGAATAAAGAAAATTAGGTACAACTAACACTAACGAACGCGCTCTTCCTGAATAAATTTTCGATCGTTTTTTCTTGATGATCTTTAATATTATATATTCAACGTGTACAATAGAACGGTTCAGTTTAATATCAAAACCGCCTAACAAATGGATGACATCCTCTGACATAGCAATAACAGCAGCCCAAGAGCCTGAGTCAGAAGATCGGGCAGCTTAACAGTTAGTTATATACAACACATGTATAACAAAATAACAATATTTGAAGTTGTTATTTCTCACTTTGATCCATACAGCTTCGACTGTATCATACATATATGCACAGTTTAGAGCAACATTCTGATAGGTATGAGCACCCACACAAACAATATATCTTCCATCTGTAAAAACATCAAAACTACATCGTCCATCTGGTAACGGTTCCACAGATAACATATCATTGAGCTCTTGATCATATGTCCAGTCGTTTTCTACAACACGATACTAAACAACGGTATCGCGATTCTTTAGTACTGAAATTGAACAGAACTCATCAGATTTTCAGTGATGATTACCGGGATGAATGACGTCGTATTTTTACCGGATCAACTAAGTATCTCGCCATAAAACGCCAAATAAATAGTCAATGGTTATCCTTATCATCAGAATTCTGTACTAACTCCAATTTACCAATGATGTACAATCCAAAATTGAAGTGTATACAAACATATCGCTTTTTTATTTCTCTTTCTTGCAATAGTTGAAAACTACGTTTTGTATTTTTTAATACTTGCTCATCCTTCTTTTTTATATTCGAAGCATTTAAAACTAACAACTTGACATAAACACGCACAACATCGTCTCACATTTTTACCTTGTATCTCATGTTAAACAAGTTTTCCAGAAATAGAGTATTATATTTGTACGTTTTCAGCCACCAAGTTGTGTTTAATAGCCAATAAGCGGCATTTAGAAAAAAATTTCTAATTTTTAGCGTCCACAGACATTTGTTTTTTTTCGGAGTAAAACTAAATAGTGGACATCACAAAAATATTTATTAACTTACTTACACTGGACAATCTATAGGAATTGGCAAAATATACTAAATTTAAAACTAATTTTGAAAAGTGGACTAAAAATGTGATTTGAAACCTGGAGAAAAATTATTGTAACTTTCTAATGAGAAGTCATACATTACTCTATTCTGACAGGAAGAATCTATTCTATAACTGTACGGATTTTAAACCAGAGTTAATTAAATATAGAGTGAGAAGTAGTTGGTTCCAATTAGTGTTTTTAGAAAGCTTTTTAACAAGATTTAAAATCAATTATTATAGTAAATGGTGATAGTCAGTTGAAGTTTCACGTTAATATACATAATACAATTCTTTAGTGTTAGCAGAAAAATGTAATTTCTGACGATGTGTTTCTCGTAATAGCCGATTGCAAACAAACCGGACTCTGAATTTTCTAGATAGAGTTCTCACACTTGTCCATAATCACAATGAACTAATCCTAGTAAATATTCCACATAGTAAGCATAGATTTCTTGCTGTTTACATATGACGCCTGTCAAAAAACTATGTGATTTGGTAAAAGTAGGGAAGCAAAATTATTGAAATCAATTGATTTCCATTTATCTCCTTTATAATAGTTAGGACAAATAAAAACATTTGGTAACAATTCTTTGGTGTAATATCGAATAGATGGTCAGC